AAAACGGGACAGCGCTTGCACCTGACCCATATACGCTTTAACCCGACTCCGGTTGCTCTGTACCGTATATACGTACCACGCCGAGAGCAAAAGAGAGAGAATCGGAGCGAAATGTCTGCGGGTGTGTATGTGTGTGCGCGCGCGCGCCCGAACGGGAGGTAGTTGCCGCTGCCTGCCTGCCTGCCTTGCTTCTCCTCTCGGCAAACTATATAACACATACACACCCTCGCTCGCAAGCTCACATACGTAGCTACAGGCTATATAGTCCACGTATATAAACTTTATTGATCGACCTAATTCTCTCTCTCTCTCGCTTGGCGTCGGCGTCGGCTCTCTCTTGGTGTATTATACAGAGAGAGAAGCGCAGCGCAAAAGCGCAAGCAGACGTGAATACTGTTGAGCTACCCTAGGCCAACAGCGGCAGCAGCACACCAGCGGACCTTTTCAATATGGAAGCGAAATTCAATCGGAAAGCTTTTTAACATACAAATAAAAAATAAAAAACGCCTGGGCATAACTTATTTATTTTTCCTTTTCATTCTTTCTTCTTTTTCTTCTTCTCTTTTTTTCAAACATCGCGTGCCTCGAACTGCGCACAATTCTCCAGTGCATATTGTGCGCGCAAGTTGAGCCATGCTCTTCTACTATATTCATGTAGGTGTACGTGTGTGCGTGTGCTCCACGGGAGTGGCTGTAAACATAGAGTTCTGCAGCTAGGTATACGTACACACACACACTCGCGAGTGTGAGCGCACACGTACAAGGAGAATTCGCGGTGTCGGCGCGCGCGAGGCAGCGAGAGCGACTAGCAGTCGAGCTCGTCCGTGTGCTCGTCGTCTGAGCGAGTGTGAGTGAGCCGCGCGCAGAATTAGGTCGAGGTTTATTACGGTGGACGTATTAGATGCTCTCACTCGCGTATATATACTGCAGCGCGCCACACGTATGAAGTACAAGTATGCGAGAGCCATCGTTGCTGTTGTTGTTGTTGTTGTTGTCGGTGTTTATACGTTTTTTTTCGTTTATGGATCGACGATCTCGAATAATAATCATTGTGTTTTTTTTTATATATTCGCCTCGGCGATGGCATCGCGTGGATCGACCCTCGCGCGTAACTTGTGTACACAGCTAAAGCACGTATTATATACGATACGCGATCTCGCTATTATAGGAGAAGGTATAAACGAAAGCTAGGAGCTCGTCGTCGACGATCTTTATGGTATTCGAAGGTGCAATAAGCGTGATCGTATATACTATACAAGTCTGCGCTCACACGTACCAAGGCCGCGCCGCGTCAAGTCGTATATCCTAAGGTTGCGAGGCTGATGTGTTGCCGATCGCGAGAGTCGAGACTTTTTTTTTTATATATCTTATAAATATAAGTAATACGTATGATTTTATAAATGTATGCCATGTCCAAGGACATCGCAACAGAGAGAGAGAAAGATGATTTGAAATGAAAAAACGATGTATTTCAAGAGAGCTCGTGCAGATCATTGCCTTGGGCTGAATGGCGTACTAAAACTACTTTGACTTTCACGTCTCTCTCTCTCTCTCTCGCTCTGGAAAAGGGAAGCAGCATCGGTGTGATACATATAATACGCGACAGACGGACACTCGTAAATACATTACAATAATTACATCGTTCATCCCTTGCGTGACTGCGGTGACACACAACGCCATGTATAAGTAAGCTCGACTGTGTATTGAAAGGGCATATAACACAGACGTATGTCGATCCGAAACCTGCATCATTCTCCCTTCTGGCCACGTCTCCCCACCCTCGCACGTTCCTCCGCAACCACTTCCTCTCCCTTGAGAAGTCAGAGTGGCTGCAGCGCTGTGCGACTGAGAATCTCTCACCCGTACCTCTTCCTCTCATTGGCCTACTTTCACTTCCCAACTACAACTAATAGTACAATCAATTATCACTAAAATTCACCCCGCATGACTGCAGTCCCTGGGCAATTGTTGGTGGGCCTGGGGCCTTTCCTCCGTCTGCCCTGGCCTGGCGATGGAGCTGGCGGGCGGCTCCCGCATTCTGGCTTGTCCCACTTCGGGTCAGTGCTCATTGGGTGTCATTGAGCTTTGAATATATGTAAATATGTAAATAACTGTGCTGTATTCAATTTTTATTTTCTTTCTTTTTGCTGTCGTCAATTGTCTATCTTTATGTAATGTATTACCCATCTGCGCTAATTGCTCATTGTATATATGTATTTTGTTTATAATTCTTTTCATTTACTATCTGTAATTTACTTCGGGGCCACATGGGGTTCTACCCCCCGGTCCCATAATAAATAAATCAATCAATCAATCAAACCAGCCAATAAGATCGCAGACCTCGAATTCACGAGTCGAGCCCTTTACAGTATACGCATTTATTTCCGAGTATAGCAGAGGCAAACGATATAATATAGATATATATTTTTTTCACGTACGTTGTATACGCAGACGCCTCGAAAGTCGAGAACAAGGAAAAAACGTTTACCGCAGTATTCAGAGAGCAGCTCTCGAAAAAATCTCCGATAACCCGTACGCGTTTTGTCTTTCTCGACGCGCAAAATTCTTGAAATACTTCCCATGCGCACGAGAAAAGAAGAGAGAGAGAGAGAGAGAGAGAGACTGCTGATTTAATTTTAACCCGTTCGCTCAGGTGCATGCGATAGCTGCTATATCCATTCGCCTTTCCTCGAGTGCGTGGGTGTACAGCAGTTCACCTAAACAGACACGCAAACTCACACACGCACACAGCAACCCCCGCACTCGGTATACGGCATAATTCGCTTCTGCTCGCTATGCTACACATCTCCCTGATCCGTGCTATAACGTTATCTCACGCATAAATGCATCGCTGCCTGCGTATTTACATATAATATATATATTATAAATAAACGAACGCATACATATAGCAAGTATATGTGCGTCTGTGTGTACCGTATGGATAAATAAAAATATAATATGTGCACACAGCAGCAGCAAAGCCGAGGGGGATGGTCATAACATTGACCTTCGAGGCAGCAGTGCGGGATCGTGAACGCGACACCGACGTAGTACATTATTATAACGAAGCGTCTGACAAAGAAAATGTTGTATATGTTTACGGACGAGTGGAAGCTGTGAACTCGCGACTATGTGTTCGCGTGTGTAATCTGCCTACACGATCTATCAAGCAATTGACATTTTCTATTCTCTCGCTGTACGTGCGAGTATTTTTACGCGTAGTTGCGATCGTGTACAGAACATAATGGCTGTACAAGTCTCGCTCGAGCAAGTGAAAGAACCTCGAGTCTCTCAGACACACAGGTATATATCGAATACGGGGGCAGGTGTATGTGTGCGTGCGTGTGTGAGTGTGTACAACACACCGGCCGGCTTTGTCAGATAGAGTCTAGATTATTAGAATCGGTGCTCGGGCAAGTGTATACCTGCGACGAGAGAGAGAGAGAATTGAAAGAGGGGAGAAGTAGATCGCACGCACACACAGGCGACTCCGAAAATATACTCTGCGTAGGTATATCTATGTAAGTGCGATTGTGTGCGAGCGGCTCGCGCGTTGACAGGTGTTCCGCAGACGAAGACGTTGAACCTGCATGAGGCACACGCACACACACTTGTATTGCGCACGCACAGGCGTGTGTGCATGTGCACAAGACAGAGAGACAGAGAGACAGACTGTCGTCCCTCTGCTGTTGCTTCTGCGAGCTTCTTCTTCTTCTTCTTCTGCGCGTTACATTAGCAGCGCGGCAGGATGAGTTTCGTCACCGGACACCCCAGACGCGGGGCATCCAAGATCAAGCCGGCTTCTTCTTCCTCCTCCTCGCCTTTTTTTTGCTGCTTCTGCCTACTCGCTCTCTCTTGCTTCGTTATCTTTTTTTTCTTTTGCAAATCTACCTCGCTTCGCGTCTCGCTTTATTTTTTATTACCATTCGGGGGATTGCCCTGGTGCATCATAGTGTATGCTTACGTAGAGATACATGAGCTCGCGCATGGTGATCATTGCTGCTTATTCCACTGCTCTCGTTCTCGTATACACACACACACACGTACATGAGCGTCAGCTCGGTCGCGTTAAGCTCGCGCGTCTGGCCGAGATAAGGATTTATTATATTTATAGAGATATGTGTGCAGTCTGCGCGCGTACACGAGTGTATATCAGCTGCGAATCAGCCCGATCGCGAGCTGCAGCATGACAATGAAAATATTTACTCGCTCGTTATAGGCCGACGCGACGAGTCGGAGCTCTATATGCACGCATCCTTTTGTGGCTCACCAACGAGACCGAGAGAGAGATCGAGACTTATTACCGCTACCGGCCGGTACTTATCATCGTGCACATTACGACTCGAGCGATGATCGTCGACGCATTTCAAGAGAGCAAAAGAAAAAACAAAAAAAGTCTGCGGATAATTACCAGTTTAATACGATCGTGGCCGGGTACTCTGGTAGATACATTATAAACACATATATCGCGCGGCTCGCAAGTGCATCGCGTGTACGTTATCGCGCGCGCCGCCGCCACCGCCGCTGACGCGCTGCTGCAGTCTGATCGGTGAGTGTGTGCAGCAGCAGCAGCAGCAGCAGTTGTGCAATAACATCGTCGTTATTCCGCACATATTACGTCAGTATTTAGATAGAACGGCCACAATTGCGTTTTAATTCTATTCGTATGGACTTATACACACACAGACACGCACACATGTATGAAGTACTCCACACACATAGCCACAAATGTACGTACGTGCACGCGCAAATGTGAGCACGATCGAGGCTCGAGCCCGAGTGCCGGATTACGCGCACGATCCCGCGGTGCGCGGCGGTGGCAACGCTACGTCGTACGTATCCAAGCTTTCCGCGGAAAAGTCCAGCTTTTTTCTTCTTGCGTAAAATTGCGCGTGCACGTACGTACACTTGATCGCGGAATATATATCGTAGCAGATTTATCGGCAGATAATATATTATAATGTAATGAAATATAAAATTGAGAGGCTTTTATAACTCACCCTATGAAAGTTGACACGTCGATGGAATGGGAGGAGGCCCGCTTGCGGTCGCTTCCCACGTCGGCCAGCCTGGCAAAGTCCGTGTCCGAGTCGGCTAATCTGGCGCTCTTGCGCGACTCCAGCAGTCGGACTTCCTCGATGCGCTTCGTCAGATGCATCATGCCCTGCAATCACAGCCAACAAACGGCAACGATCAATCGACTGTACTCACGAGGCACTTTATACGGGAGTCACGCGTTTGTGTGATATATATGGATTGTAAATAGAGGTCTGCTGCGCAAATTCGGAGCAAACCCGGCAAATGTACTACGCGTCACGAATGGCTGGGAATCTAACTATCTCTATGTATACGTACACAACTACAGCTGGCTAATTCGCGACTGGTGCCGTATATAATATTGAGAGGCGCAGGTATATCTACGGGCCTAGTTGCAGTTGCCGACATGTCGTCGTCGTCGTTTTTGCGGCGCTTTAAATATATTTACGTCGTGGCTGTTTCCGTATTATTACAATAACGTCGTCTCGTGCTGCGCTCCAGAGCGTCGCGCGTCGAGGCACATACTGAAGACGTAGTAGTAGTGGCTCGCGGCTCACGGTTGATAAAAGGCGCAGTTCGCTTCTTTCGCTCACATGCCTATAGCTATATAGCTATATTATACATACATACACACGCGCTCTTCGACCGGAGTGTGAGGCGAGCGAGTTGAGCGAGTCAGAGTGAGTGAGAGCTCGGCACAGCGCGCACAAATAACTAACACAAATATCAAGCGCGCACCAACACACGCACAGATATTGGAGTCGTCGTCGAGCGCTGCTCGTTTTTATTATGCCGGCTTCTTGTACTGCGCGCCGATATAATATAGCTTTTGCTCGATCGCTCATGTACATATCAGACAATGTTATAAATGTATATATCGTATGTACGCGTAAGCACTAGCACTTAGATACGATAGCCGGCAAAAAAGTGAGAGAGAGAGACGCACACGCACACACAAGCAAACGCGTAAATAGTTATAAAGTCCGCGTGCGTCTGTGTGTGCTTTATATGTGCGCGCTAAAGTCTACGCGACGCGAATGACGTACGTCACGAATGTATGTATAGGTATAGCATCGGCAGCGGTAGCTGCGATACATTATTATACTTTGAGCCGGCACATACAGAACCGGCTGATTTCTCCCACCTTTTTTTTCATTTTTTTTTTGCGCGCAATCGACGCGTATGTATACACACAGTGTATATCGGGTCCCACATTATATTGTGCGTAATGTGCCGGGGCTTCGAAACTATACGTGCTGGCGTATTTATCGACTCTTTCTTTTTCGGATGTTACCAAACCGCGCCTTTATAACGGGTATATATTCGTTGTAATATACACAATTTTAGCACGTATATATAGTAAGCCGGCGTTGTGCGAGAGCCGGCCGCTCGTTGTATTATAACCGGCGAGCGTACCTTCTCCAGCTCGACTCTATATATAAACAGCTTCGTGTCAAATATTTAGCCAAAGGTGCTGTCTCTTTCTCTCTCTCTCTTTTCCTCTCCAACACTTGTTCCGTATACAAGCCGGTAAATATACACACAGACACGCAGAGCCAGCCAGAGACAGCTCATCGCATGCGACTCCGTATCTGCGCGTTATAGCTCGGCGAGCTGCGCGTCGTTGAATCATTCCGGGGTTATTCGCCGGCCACCGACGCCTTCCGATTCGCCGTCACGTATTATATATAATATGATACACGCGTTTGGAGAGATATGAAAAGAGAAAGAGAGGGAGGGAGAGAGAGAGAGAGAATGCCGATGAGATTCGAGTAGCTTATAGAGCTGGCGAGAAAGAAGGGAAACCACCGGCACCGCCGCCGCCGCCGCCGCAGTAGCAGCAACAGCATGCGTGAGACGCGTCTCCGTGTCATCGACTGTGAATCTTTTCGGGGGAACGACGACCCGACTATAATACGACGCTGCTGCTGTTGCTACTGCACACGCACACACATATTAGAAGCGCATATTATAGACGCGTTTGCTTCGTCGGATTCTTAGCTCCCCGGTACTCTATACACTTTCGCAGTTCGTTTGAGCTCCGAAATTTTGACAGATCCTGTTTCGGAGTCTCATTCTTTGTGTGCACGTAGTATATACACCTCGGCAGTCCGGCAGGCCACACCGTGCCCGAGAGATAGACGCAGAGAAAAAGAGCATGGCCCTCTCGATAATATTATTTTTCAGCTGGTGTGCTGCCGAGCCGAGCCGAGCGCGAAGACCATAGTTTAATGCACAGAGAAAGGCCAACTTGGAATCGGCAGACACAGCGCAGCAACACAACAGCTGAGCGTAGCGGGCGCGCGCCTATATGCTCGTATAGTAGTATAATATGCCCATGTATCTACACGTAATTTGATAATCAGCGCAATCGTATCGTAAGTCCGCCGCGCGCGGGGTATATATTATGGCGCACTCCAAGTCAAAGGCTTACACACATATACATAGTGCGCTTTTGCAGAAGTAATGGCATGTACACGGCGTATAGCACGTTATATATATTCTCGAGCGAGCGAGCGCGCGGCACGAGAGCCGCATGAGCGCAGCTAGGAGGTCTCGTGCGGGCAAAAACGAAAGTGCACCTACACACAGACAGTCGGCAGGCGCATATACGTGCATGTAAATGCACATACTTACACACACACACAGCTCCATAGAGCTCTCTAGTCTTTAAGGAATTATATGTATATTGCGACATCCAGGCGAGTTTGATATATAACGCGATCTGCCAGTTGAGATCTGGCTTGACTTGAATTGCACCGTTAAGCGCTCCGGCTGAGCTCGCTCGCGAGCGCAAGTAGTATACGAGGTTTAACGCGAGACGCGGTTAATACTTACTATATACATGTCCCGGCCGGTGCTTATGTCTCTCGTTTATTGTTTTTTGTTATTGTTTTTTTCTCTTCGCTTCATTTTTTCCTTATCTTACTTTTTTTGTTCTCTCATCGACGCGCGAGCAAAATCTGGGATATATGTTCGCGCGCCTCGCGGAGGTGAAAGTTTTTCGGGATCTTACTGGTTCAAACTCGCGCAAAATCGGTATGCTAAATAAACTACGCAGTTATATTATGGGCTCGTGAGAGAGCAGCTCCGAATATGTTGCTAATCAGTTGCTGCTACTGGCGAGCGAAAAAAAACTGACGAAACGAAAGAATAAAAAAGGGGGAAATCAAAGTAAAAAAGAATCATATGTAGGAGCTAGGCTACATGCGCGATGAGTAGTTGCTGCTTTCGGTCTCTTTCTTTCTCTCTCTCTCTCTCTCTCTCTCTCTCTCTCTTTCTCTTGCATAGTGAACGCGAAAGTGCGCCGTGGCGTGCACACACATACACACACTTACACACTTCTAACAGTCAGGAGGGAGAACAGCTGAGGGGAAGTAGAAGGAGGCTCTCTTTTTCTTAGCTACTGCTGTTGCTGCTGCTGCTGCTGCACAAAGAATTATAAAAGAAAGACTCGCAGTTCGCAAAAGCAGCAGCAGCAGCAGCAGTAGCGCATTATATAGAATGCCTACGCTACTGTGCTTTAAGCAAAAGGTCGTCGGCTTGAAAGATACCACTACGACGAACAACGACGACGAACGACGACGAACGTGTGTATGCAGCGCACGAGGCGCGCAGAGATTAGCGGACACACAACGCACAACCGCATACACATGACTCTCTTCTTCACTTTTTTTCTTTCTTTCTTTCTTTCTCTTTCTCTCTTTCTCGCTCGCTCAATTTTCATCCTCGAGTTGCAGTGCACTTCTTCGTCTTCTGTGCCGCGGCGGCGGCTCGACGCTTTTTTTTACGCCGCGATAATAATTTCTCGGTAAATAAGCGCCGTACATAAGGAGCATATGTACACATGCGCACATTGGAAAGTATTAGAAGATGATGCGTTGTATATAAGCGAGCTCGCGCGTATACACCGGGGAGATTTTTCGCAATGCCGATTTTTATATCCGCTTGATAAATCGAGCGAGCGAAATAACGGCTTTCGCTCAAGGATGCGAATCTGACGTATACGTACTACTACGTCGTAGTAAGTAACAGTAGTGCTGGTGGTGGTGCTTCAACTATTATATACACCATATACGTGAGTTAGTATAACACCTAGCGCAGAAAATGACTGGGCTAGCGCTCCGAGTTTTCCTTCCTTGCGCGAGCTCGTACTTATACACACATACATACACACACACTTTCTCTCTCTCTAAACACCTCGACTTTCAAATTTCTTCTAGTTATACGAATGCGTAGCATATATCGAGTCGTTGACCTTAGAATATCGTACTTGTGTGTGTGTATGTGTATGCGGTATCTCGTGCGATATGTGTGTATTATAACGTAAAAAGGATGCGGCCGCGCATTAACACGTACGCCACCGCTATATGTACCTCGACGGCGCGTGTGTGTATAATATATTATATGAAAAATCATCGCGGAGGGCTCGAGTTTATTATTTGATATCGGTCGGTGCGCTGGCCAAGTGGGCTGACCGATATGTGTACTCGCACACATTTACGCAACGATCTTCCGACATATACGTGTAACGAGTCGGTAGTACATGTTCTCTTTTTTCTCTGTTTTTTTTGCTGATCCGATATGCGGTTTTTTGACTTTCCGCTTTTGCGGCTGCTCGGAGCTGCTGCCGTTGCTGCGCCGCACACACGCACGTATTATTACAATATATAGGGGAGGGGAATCGTAAACATGACTTTTCCTCTTTGCGAATTCGATACTCGAAAAAACAATTTTATCCTCCTTTCCGCGCGCTACTCCTCCTCCTCCTCTTCGTTCTTTTCATCGTCATCGAAATATATATATGTGCGTTTTCAGGTGCAATGAGCTGCTGCTGCTGCCGCTTCTCGAGTTTCGGGATTCGCGATGCGTGTGCGTCACTTTCTTCTTCGCTCACGCGCTCGTTTTGCCGTTTTATTTCGGCACGCACACAGCTGCAGCGCTGGATGCACACACAGACACGGACACGCGAAGAGAGACGACGACGACGAAGAGCCGGCGGCCGAGGACCGGATCCGGCAGCTCTTTTGCGCGTATATTAAAGCACTGCAGCAGCAGCATATACGGCACGGCAGAATTTAAATGGACGCCTCGCCGTTGCCGCGAGAGAGCTCGAGCGTGCAGGAA